TTAAAATGAGTAGAAAAATAAAAAAGAAAAAAATAATGTGTACCAAACACGCCCAAGCATGCTCAAAATTAGTTTTCCAACAAATATAAGAGTCGGAACACAGCTGGAAAATTTCAATTAAATTAGAACATACTGATTCACACTAACCCTTAAGCCCTACTAAAATTATACGCTCGCATATATACGCATATAAATGCAATCACACTCAAGCGCAGATATACATTCTGATACACGATTATATAAACATGCATATACAAAAAGCGTGCTGCACCAGTACGTTTTTAAAAGAAAAGCTTTACCCAAAAATTTGAGGCCTGTAGAAACACGAAGGCTAGCTACTGGATGAGCATTAACTCTACAAAACAGCTAAAAATAGCAAGTTCTTATTTTTTTCAAACAAACAAAAAATTCTGAATCCAAAAATCAAGAATTTCTGACCCAAATTTTTTTCGTCAATGATGAATTAATCACTGTAATTCCATTGGCGGTGCCTTGTATATATATATGTGCGTGTGTACGTCATGGCAGAGGGAAGAAGATGAGAACATAAAGTGGTTCGCGAATAGCCTATACGCGGCGGCGGGTTCGAGGGTGGGGGTGGGAGGAGTTCTTTTGAGTATTGTACGATAATCATCAATGATTTTCGGGATTTGCAAAATCTAGTGCATGTTTGCCAATGTTTAAAAAATTCACTTTTACACTGAGGTTGTGTTTGATTGAAATGGTGGAAAATAGGTGGAAATAAAATGTTTTACAGGGAAAAGATTTTTCTAAAAAATGTTTTGTTGGGAATTGTAATTAAGTGTGTTTGATTGGTATAATTTTCTACCCGAAATTTTTTTAAAAGTTTGGAAAAAAAAAAAAAAAAAAAAAAAAAAAAAAAAATTTTGCTCGAAAACTATTTTTTCATCAAAGTTTAGTGTTCGTTTGACTTCGTTTTACATGAAAATTATCTATTAAAGTGAATTTTTTTTTACAATTAGTTATGAAATTTGTTAACATTGCAAATAAAAAAAAAAAATTGGTGGCAGAACCTGGAAAAGGTTTTCCCACCAAAATGGTGGAAAACCTTTTCCACAATTCCAAGGCAAATGGCGCGTGAGAGGGAGGGGAGTGAAAATTTTTTCTTGGCAAAATTTTATCTATCAAACAACAATTTTGCATAGAAAAGGAAAATATTTTCCATTTTCCATGGAAAATAGTGGCTATCAAACACAGCCTAAGTTGTTTTTAGATAGCTGTGGATCATATAAAATGTGCAATTAAAAGTAGATAAAATTTGCGAATCTTAAAAAATATATAATTAAAAATAATGTTTGATCATCTTAAAATCACTTAACATGTGTATAAGTATCGAAGTTCGTTACTTTTTATGGCTCACCAAACGAATCTTTGGTTTTGATTTAGATAAAAAAAAAAAAAAAAATTTAATATCTACCAAATAGGAGCTAAATAACAGTGATATCACATCACATGTCAATTTACGGCTAAACTCTCATGCGATACAGATTCTTTAAAATTTGTTTTTCTGCAAAATCAATTTCAACCATAAATTCTCACGATTAAATAATTTTACTCGTGAACCCATAATTTTTCTCTACCTTCTAAAGCGAGTTCTTTAAAAAAAAAATTATTTTTCGCAAAATTATTCTTAAAAGATTTACATCACATCAACCCTACGTATGTGATAAGGTAAAAGGTGTTGAGATTGCCAAGATACTGTTCCAAAAAGGGGTCCAAATCTGCGTGTTATTGTCACGTGCATAAAGGTCCAAAATATCAATAATATTTTAACCTCAAAATATATATAAAGAAAACATATTGATTTCCGACAAAATGTGATTCAACTTTTGGCACAGCATGTCGACGTATGGGTCTTATTTTTTATTATTTTTTTTTAACAAAAACATTTGGATCTTGGTATTATTTTATTTTGTTCATAGATCAATCATATTTTTAAACAAAAATTTAATACCAGAACATGAAAAAATATATAATAAAATTGAATTAACTCATATAGTTCCCTTGTATGTCATGTGTGTCTTCTCGTAACACGATCGAATTTAGTTTATTGGATGGTTAAGTTTAGAAATTTTGGTTACAACTATAAGGTGATAAATTTCTATCACTTAGTTCATGTTTGGCTAAACTTAAAGTTCAGTTATAATTAAATGCGTAAATTTTGGAAAGTAAATAATTTCTAATTTTCTAGTGATTAAATTGAAATAAATTTCTTATTTAAAAAAAGCAAGTCATACGAATAGAATAACTGAAAATATAATATTTCGTCCTTTTGAGTTAGTTCTATTATTTTAACTCCTGTTTGTCTATCATTATTTTAAAAAATTGTTTGCTACAGTAAGATTCTCTGTCACACATTCACTCAATAAAATATTATATACACAAACCAATAAAGTTACTTTACTTTTCAACCACACATTCTTCAAAAAATACTATTCATTACTCTGTTTTTCTTCCAATAATGGGAGACAAACACACCCACTTTCAGATGGAAATAAATCAACAAAAATATATTTTGGAATGTAAAGCTTGTTTGGCATATACTATTGTCAAACAAACTTTTTAGAAACCAATAAAAAATTAACTTTTAAAATAAGTATCGTATAATTTACCATAAAAAAGCGAATTTTTTTTTGGAAAACATGGAAACGAGAATATGATAACTTAGCAGCAAAATTGGGGAAGATAAAAAATTTGAAACTTATTAAGGAAAAAAGGATTGTCCTTTCACACATTGTCTACTGTATATCTAGGGATTTCCTCAAAAGTTATAAAAGGCTATCTTCTTCACTACTGAATGAGAGAGCCTACTCGGATACTCCAATCACTTAGCCTCCTTACACTTTGGAAAAACACGAGAATTTTCACGAATAAAAATTCCTAATTCGCGCATTCAAGCAGCACAACAAAATGGGTATCGCACATACTCTTCATCATACTCAGGCACTAGGGGCGTATTCCTGTATGATATCTGCCAATTTATTCCGATCATCCTCAGTCTTAGTTCTCATCAAGAAGGTCCGTGCAACAACTTCGTTGTTGTTATCACCATCACTCTGTAAAATCCAAATAAACTCATCCCTCAGGAAGAAATCATAAGTAGATCAAAAATGCTTTAGAAAAAGTTGCTAATAGAAATGCCACACAATCTTTCCCTATAGGAAAAGTCTACATGTACATAATATATGTACATAATAGTGTCTATAATGTGATGTGAACAAAATTCTGTGAAATTTGAATTAATGGTTTGATCCAATACCACATGTAATTATGGACACTATTATGTATAGATTTATGTACATGTAGCACTTCTCATTTGGCAAAGCTTCAGCTTCCATTGGGCAAATTTGAAAACGGTTTATAAATAATAACAGGAGTGAAACTTTTGAAATGTGTTGATAATAATAAATACTAGTTATGAATGTGTGATTGAAATTAATATTTGACTTTAACTAAATTTAAAAAACCAATTTATAAATTGTATCCAAGAAGGCTGCTATAATAAGTAGAGGGCTTGTTTTGCATGGCTTTTGAAAAGCTTTAAGCTGTTTTTGAAACTAAAAAACTATTTTTAAATGTTTAAGCCCCTGTTTGACACTGATTCTATTTCTCATTTTTTTTTTCTCTTTCTTCATTTTAACCACACATTCTATCAATAAAATAATATTACATATAAACCCAAAAATTCTCTTTACTTTTTAACAACACGTTCTTCCATCAATCATTATTCCAGAATTTATTATTTCACCCAAAATGGGTGTCAAAACACAAGTTAAATAATTTTCTGATAGTTTTTTGTCCGGTTAGAAAAGCTTTTAGAAGATTTGTTCCAATGTAGCTTCCTCAAAAATCTTTTCTACAAGAAACATAAGGAGAAGCTTTTTTGAGTCTCATTTTTTGTCAAAAAAATGCATTTTTGAATAGTGTATTGATAAGAAATGTGTGATTACAAAATAAGAAAACTTTTGGATTTGCGTGTAATATTATTTTATTGAAAAATGTGTGGTTGAAATGAGATCAAAACACTGTTCAAGAATGCATGTTTTTTTTTTTTTTCAAAAAATGGGGTTCAAACAAGGGCTAAGTTACAAAATAAAATTAATTTTAAATTGGACAAAGTTTGAAATAAGTGACTGCAAGGTCAGAATTACTTTAGAAATAATGAAGTTTTTTAACAAGAAAGAAAGAAAAAGGTGAATTGCCCAAACATGTTAAAAAGATTTAAAATATAAAAGTTGCTTGAAAATAATTTCTACTTCATTTTAAGCTTAACCAAACATATCCTTTGCTCTAGAGATAAGCAGAAGTGCTTCCATTATTCAAAGAAATAAAAGAAGCAAAAACAAAACAGAGAGGATGTATACCGTATGAAATATTGCAACAACTGCATTCTTTTGCATGTTCGTCTTGATGCCTGGATATAACAATGCATTGAGCAACACTTTTCCGACCTGCAACAAGTGAACGACACAAAAACTTATTAAGATGAACCCCAAGAGTTGCCGTTACTTTTTTCCTTGACATGCATAAAATGTGCAAGAAAATCCCAAAAACAAGTCTTCGGCTAAAAATTTATTTCCAATGCGTAAGAATCCATCACAAAGATACAAGACCCAATAACCTAAGAATAAAGCAAAAAACATTCCATAACATATAATGTGAGCAAAAGTCAAGTGTGGAAACTGAATGTATCATCAAGAGACCTACATCATTTCGTATAACGATGGTTGGTTTAGACTCTCTAGTCCCCTTGCTCACGCCTTCCTTACATTTGATACAAAGTTGACCTGTGCCTTTGTCTTTCCAAGCATCTTTGTCTGCTGGATCACTGGACTGGACACGTGGAAAAAGTAAGTATAAGATTAATGCACTAAAAAGCATAAACACAATGAAACATGTTGAGCATCTAAAGACATTAATCACACAATACAACTTCAACAACCAACCGCCATGAATTTGAAATATCAAATGCACTATGTTATACCTAAAATATCCATTCCCATAGATTGGAACTTAGGATATGTGGAACCTAATTATACTGCAAACTTGCCCTTTGACAACTGTTCAACCTTTGCAGTACTACCTAACCCACCCCCAGTGTGAGGGTTTGACGCCGAGAACCCTCGAAGCAAAATTTTCACATGTATTAGGTCGCCCTAATCTTTAGTCCTACATAAAAGGGTATCAGGCAAGCCTCTTTTGGTGGTAGAGAGAAATAGAGAGGTGTATTACTAATTGCTCTCAGTAGTACGAATTAATTGTTTAATCCGTAACATATAATGCATCAAAAGCCTTGAACAATGCACATAAACCTAGTTCAGTAAAATGAGATCTTGCTATTATTAGCAAATAGCAATCATGAACAAAAAGGTTAAATAGCTTTTTGTTTGCTCATCAATTGATAGATCACGATTTCATTTGTCAGTACTGACAAGCGTCGAGATGTGGCTGGATATGTCCATGCCTAAGCATGCATGAGTTCAAGTAGAATGTATACACAAAAACATGCAGATCTAAAGAGCGTTCA